GTCCTGAGTTCATTGTAGTTTAAATTCTCAAATATGAATTGTTATGAATAACTAAACTAAGTCGAAATGTTAGCTTCAAACTTTGCAACCTTAATTCTATGTTAACACAGAGACAAGTTCATGCATATACATGTTTGTATTTTAGGATGAGGATAATTAGACTGTAGTATGATGATGAAGTTAATCTTCAAGTGGCTTGAATGGTTGTGGACGGAAAAGATTAAGTTTTCGCTTAACGGACGTTAGTGTCTTGCAGCACTGGATCACCGATACCTCCAGGCAGGAACCTAAGTATATTAACGATAAAAGAAAAACAAATTAGTAAATAATGATATGATATTATCCTTAGTCCTTAAGTATAGGTCTAGTTGCCTCTTAGAAGACTCCTGGGAAATCACTTGGACTAGCTCAGCTGGCAGCAAATTCAAGCATTTGACCACTCTTAAAGAGTAGAAGTTGTGTCTAAAGTCCGTTCAGCTATGTCGTGTCTCTGGTTTCGGGATGTTACCACATAGGTTTGCGTTCGAGCTAAACTCAATTAGGTGTTTACGGAGATGTCTAGAAGCGGTAAGGATACTGCTAGCTATTAGGTCATCTCTAAGACGCCTTTACTCGGATGAAAAAAGGTTTAGTGATTGGAAGCGCTCTTCATAAGGCTTGAGTTTGAGTACCCGAACTGACTTTATGGTTCGCCACTGAATACTCACCAGAGTGTCCTTATCCTTTCAGAGTGAGTGAGAAAATACTATATTCCCGTATTCTAAATGGGGACGAATGATACTGTTGAAGATTATATGGAAAGTTCTACCGTCAAACTTGCCAAAAATGCAAGGTTTTCTCGAAAGCCATTTTCGTCAAAGTTAGCGTAAGACTTCAAATAGTAGGATACAAGAACTCCTAAATCTTTTTCAACTTGAGATACTTCTAGAGAGGAGTTTCTTGAGTTGTGACTGTAGTCTTCAACATATCTCAGATGGGCTGCTTTACGCTTTGAGGTGTTGAGGGTAAGTCCGTTGTCATCTGCCCAACTTTGAAGTCAAGTCAGATTCTTCTGAAGTGCAAGTATATCCTTCCGCTTGCGTATCTCTCCCTCCAAAGTTTCACGTCATCAGCATAAAAGTAATAAGTCAGACGATACCTGTTGTGGAAAATTGTTTATATAAATCAAGAAACGAAGAAGTCGTAGTACTGAACCCTGGGGGACCGACTAAGACTGTAAAAATGTGAAATTAACAATGACCTTAAAGTGTCTATTTTTAGACTGGTCCACGCCAGTTGATTAGAGGTGCCACACTAAAAGCAATGAAAGATTTTTGTCATTAGAGGTGTGTATGCGTTGAACACTCCAATTGCCTGCAACGTTAACAAAAATGGTACGTCGATGGATGTTATAGTACGGAATTAGTGGCAAAAGTTTTTTAGAGTAGCGGTATTGTTTCAGAGCTCAGGGAACTACGTGAGGTCAATTTCAGCCATCTTGCAAATTTTTGTCTTTGTGCTGAATTTGCACTTTTCAAATATTGCTGCTAAAGTTGAAACTTTGTCATCTAAGTTCAGTTGCACAAATATATATATATATATATATATATATATATATATATAATGTGAGTAAAGACAAGCTATGCAGAATGATTACGTCTAGGAGGCTGAGCCATGCCTTCCGATTTATTGAATTGAATAAAACTTTACTGTGTTCTCCATAATTGACATTATCTTAGTGTCCATTGGTGAATATAAATTTTATCAGTAATTATATTCTCGGCTTTAAAGTTTCTGTGGTACGGTCCAAGGTCATTGAAAGTACACCTTGATGGTCTCGCTCAAATCCAAATCTAAGCTCATGATAACGCTCGCTATTTCCTCAAGAACTGAATCCTGCTCACCTAGTGCTGCCTGATTATTTGAGGGTGATTTTATGGCTGTGTTCAGCAGCTCAATTACCTCGACAATCATCTGAGACTTTGTACAGTAGCATCCTTTGCACTGACAACATGATAGTGACTGGCAGTACATTTTAAATACAGTCGGCGTAAGTCAGATGCACACATTGTGACACCTCTTATTGCAGTTGGCACATTACACTTCATCACCGACAAGGAAATATCAGGCAAGTTTGCCACGGCGAAGTTTTACTCGTGCCATTGATTTGTTTTGTGATCTCACATGAAGAACAACAGCGAAAATTGATCTCTAGGAAAGTATCTTTTAAGGCTTGATAGGTGACAGACATTGCACACAAAAAAGGTTTGCATATTACTGTACCTAGCAACAATAAAAAGTCCGACTTCAGCAATTACAAAAAGGCATAATCAACGAGGAAAGAAAGATGCCGGTGCCCACTTTTACTTCTGTACTCAAAAAAGTACAGATGATAAATTCAGCTAAAGTGAAAACAGTGGTCTCCATGCGTAATTAAACGCTCAGTACTATAAAATATACTCAAAGGAGAAATGCCACTGTCCATTTTTAACAGCTTGTGTTGTCGGAACCATTTGGAACCATTTATTTAAAGGACTATCCTTTTCGTGTGACTAGAAATAAATTCAATGCAGCTTCCTTGAAAGTTCGTATTCAGAGAATTAGGAAAAATATGAACACGGTGTATTGTGTTATTCATACTTCACCGAATAGTCAGCTCATACATCTCGCTAATATGTCACATTCAAAAGACATTCATTCACGATAGAAAACTAAGGTGGCCGTAGGATATTTCATCGAAACATTTTCGTTATTCCAATCAGTAAAATGTGTAACCTCCTATTGGGAGCCACATAGGTGCTTTCCTCTAGTGAATCTTTCAAAAGAATGCTCGAAGTTTATTTGGCTCAGCAGATACAGACGGAGTTTACACTGAGTGTTGTTTATTGATCGCCAGTATTACTGCCTCGATTGTTTGCCCATTTATCTTTTTCAACAATCAAATTTCTAGGATTATTTGAGTTGGTTTTTGCAAGTGACTCAATTTGTTGTTTGAAGCTTCTACTTGTTTAAATTGTTGACGAAGTCTTTACAAAGTATTTATAACATATCGTGCAGACTTGACGTTCCAATTGACATTAATAAGAGTCTCTCTTCGTTCTGATTGACAGTTTCTGGTAGGCTTCTTGATTTATAATTTCATTGCGTTTTTAATATGTGTTGATCATTTTTCATTCGGGAATTCGAAAGGTCTTGATCACGAGACTGTGAAATTTCCATGATTGAAAAATAGTGATCTGGAGTGTTTTTTCTTTATCGATGTACAGCAGTACTAGAAGTTTCAGAACTTTGTATTTGACGCATCGACTTTCGACAATCTCTGAGACGATTTTCCTCTTCGCTTGAGACAGCTTGTAAAATGTTAGGTCATTTAGCGGCTAGTCAATCTTCATCGGTGTATACAATGTTTCCATTTGGAAATTATGGAATGAATGAGTAGCCAGATATTCAGCGCGACAAACTGCAGTAGAGACTCCTTCAAGAGAGATAATGTTGAAGTCAATAATATCAATAGTAAAAATAATGAAGTGAAAATACCAACTTGGAATTTATGCAGTATTATCTTAGTATATAACATGCAAGTTCAGTAATTGTGGGAGTAAGGCCGTTGCACAGCGTATTGAAACGTCAAGCATTTTATTGTAAGTGTCCACTTAGGATGTTGACACCATATTTTCGGACAGAAAATTTCAACCCTTATCATTTAGTTAATAAAAAATGGAATCGTGCACTGAATTTATCACGTATCGGTGTTTGAACCGTCAAGCATTGGGTACAGGAATGGTTATCTCTGGAAAGGACAATTTCTTTGTTTGTAAAGCACGCCTGGGTGGACGTTTCGGATCGCTTACGACTTGTCTCTCTTTATAATTTTCATCAGTTTGGTGACTTGAAATATTTGTTCAGCAATAATAGTCTTCAGTCTTCAAAGGCGAACATCGGAGGTCAAGCAACCTGTGTTTATTCTCGCAATCTGCAGTGCTGTGAAGATTTAATCTCTAGACGTGCCAAAGTGAGACTTTGATACTACGTGTTCTGGTAGAGAACTCCGGCAACTTACGTTCCAGTGCATGAAATAACACTAAAGACATAGGCGTTTCTATTTAGGTTTCTGAGCTTCCGAGTGCGTGCTTGCAGACAATGAGTCTTAAATGTAGGGAACAGACATGGTAAAACAACAAGTTTGTTATCATCTTTTCAGATGTTTGTGCTGATGACGTCGTTCAGAAGAAAGGTGGAAGCTTCACGCCCAAACCATCCAGCTCAGAGAACAAAACGCCATCAAAATCATCCACCTGAGCTACAAATCTTCCCCACCATCTCTTCAGAATCTATTAAGATTTCGGTGAGATTATAATTTATGGACGAAACAATCAGGTATAAGATAACGAGTCACCATTTTGGGCACAGAATTCATCCATACACTTGGTTAAATAGAGTTTTGGCATGATAGCTGATGTCAGTTGGTGATGAAAACCCTAAATCTAACTTTTAATCGTAACCATCAACTGTAAATGTGAATTCTAACTGCTTTATGACCCTCATTTAGTCCTTATCAGTAGTTGTTCACTCTCAAGGTCACTTCAGCGTCGCTCAAAGGTCGTCCATAAAATATAGTCCTACCAAGATTTCTAGTTGACTCAGTAAACGTTTGTTTTGAGAAGGATTACCGAAGACAAACGATAAAAATTCTAATGGCTTCTAGGTATAGCAATTTGACACACCTTATTTGCAACATGACTTTATTTTTTCCACAAAGACTAGTCACATAGTTTGTATCTCTGAATCCTAAATATATAAAATTTTAAAATAATGTTGACATTATTCTTGCTATTTGAATCGATAATTTTATCCTGTTGGGCTGTTGTAGTGTGACAACATAATCCAGCCTATATGTGTGGGAGTTTCTATGTCGTTTGTGACCAACTGGATTGCTAAATGTATTGTACGTCATTTTATTTAAAGTCGTTTGGTTACTTTGTACTACTGCAAATGGAAATTATAATGTATTTTATATTGTAGTGGCATGGCAGAAAACAAGAAGATGGATGATGACGTCACCGTTGTTGTAGATAAACCAGATAATGTAAAACTGAAGCGATCTATTGGTATTGTAACCAGTATCACCATCATAGTAGGATCAATGATTGGCTCAGGAATATTTGTCAGTCCTACTGGTATTTTACTGAATGTCAGAAGCATTGGAGCTAGTCTAATTATATGGGTTGCATGTGGGATCTTCAGTATGCTCGGAGCGTACTGTTATGCAGAACTTGGCACGATAATTGAGCGATCCGGAGGGGATTATATTTACGTATATGAAGCATTTGGACCATTTATTGGATTTTTGCGTTTATGGATGGAAGTAATGGTCGTAAGACCTGGAACTATCGCTATTGTGGCTTTGACATTTGGGGAGTATGTTGTTGTACCTTTGTATCCAGACTGTCCACTGCCCTTTACATTGATCAGGATTTTGGCAGTTTTATGTATAAGTATGTTTAAAAATATTTCCCTACAGCGTTTTTTCCATTTCATTTGTTAAGATGTGCTCGAATATATACTCAGCAAACGTTAACTCTTATGCACTCTTATGGATAAAATGCACTGTTTGTATTTCTGATAAGCGAAGAATGAAGGCAGTTGTTAATATGAAGATACTTGACACAGGTCCCCATAAAATGCGATTTTATTACATAAAAATGATAAACACTTCTGGGTGAGAGTATAAAAGTGCTTAATAACACAAAGCACTGGTTATTAGCTACTTCGTTCCTTGAAATGGATGACCTGAATCATTCCCTCAAAATTCGTTTATTCTTTAAATTTGAATAGAGTATAATAACATTTGGGAAAAATATCATAAATCCTGATTGTTTTCGACATTCTCGCCAAAGGTGTATAGTCTGTAGGGCATTTAACGCAAAACATGTACGACGGAAGAATGGTGAATGAGATTAATGGTGGACTGAAACCAGTGAAATTTGATAAAGGTTGTTTGAGTGAATAATGATAAGTGCAAAAAGTGTCAAAATGTGAATAAACGTAATACGGATCAGAAGGTGAAGAACTGATGACAGTTAAATTATGAGTTCTGAGTGAATAAAGGAAAACTGAGAAGTGTTAATTTCTGGTGACTGTGTGTCTTCAATCGTAAATTATGCTTTTGATAGATTTACAAAATGGCAACGATTTAATCCTAATTAATAAAAGATGAATTCAAATGTATTACATCGGTAAACATTCTGTTAATGTTGGCACTTTAAATATTTTGATAAGTTGGCTTATAGATCTCAATACTACTGGTAGTTACCAATTTGTAACTTCAGTAAACTGTTCGGAATAAATGTTATATTCTGGTCATTGTTTACATAATAAACGGTTCGTTTATTATCTAATTACTTGTGAAATCAAAAGTATCAGTGGAATCGATATGTGATAAATTAATTTGATGATAAGATACTGGAAGTTCACTTAGAAGAAGGTTATATAGTATTTTTAATGGTTGAGATCAGGAGTCAATTGAAGCTAGACCACCATGAAAAACCTGGAAGCACTGGACAGCCGTTTTGTCCTATTGTTGGACTCCTCAACAGTGCGTATCCACGATCCCGCCTCACGAGATTTGAACCCAGGACCTATCAATCTCGAGCGCGAGCGCCCAAGCACTAGACCAGTGTGCCTACCAGCATCCAAGGGTGTTAACGTCTAAATTCAACCAATCCACGAATTTTAGCGACAGACTCACCTTTGTCCTTAGTGAGTTACTATCTCACAATAGTTTTCTGTTTTCACTATTACTGATGTTTTTTCATCTGAAAATGTTTAAAACGATCACACTGATGATATCTTAATGAAAACTTCCCAATTTGTTGTCATCTTGTTTCATTTTGTTTAGCATTTCTAAGTTTCGCCAATTCGTTTTCAATCAAATTTTCAACCAGAATACAAGATATATTTACACTTGCGAAACTTGCCGCTCTTATAATGATCATTATAACCGGATTTGTACAGATTGGATTTGGTAATTTAATTATATCATTCTTTAAAATTATTTGAATTACTTTTTGTTATCTATAATAATTAGAGTCGGTTTTTTTGTGACTTTTGTTGAACTGTGAGTGATTTAATGTTGACATGAAGATTTTATTAGTGTGCATCATTCAAGAGTTTCTCATTTCAGATGAAGTGGTTGTTTAATCTAAACTATATGTCAACAAGTGTGTTAAGTTAGTCTAAAATAAGAATGATATTTTGTATAAAAGTTTCCCAATAATAAAACTGTACGACTGTATGTGATAAAATTCACTTTGTTAGATTTAAAAAATCTCAATATTTACTATGAAGCTCGAGAAAAATAATTTTCCCTATCTTTTCTCAAGAATACGCATAATTAATTAATTGATTGAATGTCTTACATTAAACGTTGTTTCAATGCAACAACCTTTGAACATTTCATTTCTGTTATCGCTCTTTGATTATATGACTTCTCTAATAACATGTCAGACCACTTTTATTTATTTAAAGATTTCGATTTGAATAGAGTGATTCTTCAATAAATTGTGAATGAGTAAAATGATCCTTCGTCCTACTTACGTCTGTTATCCCTCGTAGAGCATAGGTCACCGACTAGTATTCTCTTGTCCTGTGTTCTGTTTTCCAGCTATTTCTAATTGCTGTTAGTAATTCACTGTGATTTGTCTCTTCTAAGTGACTGACTAGGATTTATAATCTCTATGTATTTGTGATTGTGATCACTGTTTATGTCATGATATATTTAGTCACATAATAAAATAATTTAGGTATCTCACATTGCACTTTATTGCTTAACTTCTTTTAGGTCGTTATGAAGGGCTGAAAGAACCTTTCGTCGATTCGGACTGGAGTCCTGGTAAAATAGCCAATGCATTTTATAGTGGTTTATTTGCTTATGCTGGCTGGAATTACTTAAATTGTATGATTGAAGAAATGAAGAACCCCAGGAAACATTTGCCCATAGCAATTGTGGTATCGTGCTTACTAGTGACTCTAGTTTACACAGCTGCTAATGTAGCCTATGTGACAGTTGTACCAGTTGCAGAGATTTTGACCACAAGAGCTGTGGCTGTGGTAGGTGGAATAGTAATTTTACTGGTGTATTGATGCTTTTAATCAATTTTCCTATAAACCGAGAATTTAATTAATGTATTTTCACCGTTCAAGATCACACCATCTCGGCATCCGATTTCCAAAAGGTTATTGTATAATTGTAAGTCGTTACTTATTTGAAACTCTAAGAATCAGTATTAATTTGTTAAATGGTAAGAACAGATTTCAGGTTATGTTGTACTCTAACATGATATCTGAATGAAATATTTCCCAAATCAATATATATAATAAATGAGTTCTATGTAGTGTGTTATTTGTGTGATAAATATCCCTGTCGTGTTTAGGTTCGTGTATGATTTATGTTCCACCGTAAACCGAAAATTTCCCACAAATATTTCATGAAAGAATGAAACTAATTCATCAGCAATTATTTTTAATAGTTGAGATCATGAGTCAATTGAAGATAAACCACCATGGAAAACCTGGACACACTAGACAGTCGTTTCGGCCTATTTTTGGACTTTTAGTGGCTCCTATTTAGATCGTACGAATGGTTGTTATCGCCTATTCTCATATATAATCGTCGACTTAGTCGCGTTAGCCAATAACGGAATTAAATATGTCGAATAACGAAAATTGACCTGTGAATACATATATTTTGTATATGAAGTGAATGAAACAGAGCCAAGCAAAATGACACGCAGGGAAGATGGCTGGGAAGCCAACTCCATTTTAGTCAAGCTTTACTCAATATTTATAGTCAGACAAAAATAAGCTACAGACATGTGATTAATGGAATAAGAAGGGCACACACATATACGCTCATATAAAAACAGTTTAGGTTGATAAGCGAATAAACAACAAGGTCAAAGTATGGCTCCAGTAGAATGAATGGAATGGGATGTTTGAAAGCTAGAATAATGTATATGGAGTTAGCATAATAACTGACACTACAGCCTCCTCGGCAAATTAAAATCTAATAACAATAATCTATCAAATAAATAGATCATTTAGTTAAGATCAATCTTTATCCAGTTCCCCCCAATATACACCCAAAATTATCTCGTTTTGAATCGTGTTAATCTGTTTCCAAATTGTTCCGTCGGTATGAAAAACATTATTGAATAATTTTGATTTATTTTTATCCGTTTACTTACAAAAACAGACATTTGCTAATAGAATATACGGAATGTTTTGGTGGATAATGCCAATATTTGTTGCTTGTTCAACGTTTGGGAGTGCTAACGGAACTATATTAACTACATCGAGAATATTTGTTGCTGCTAGTCAGCTCAAACAAATGCCAGCGTTTATCAGTTACTTGCACACGGATCGATTAACACCTATTCCGGCTGTTCTGTTCACTGTGAGTTCCTTGCATAACACTACTTTTGTCGAACATATATATATATATATATATATATATATATATATATATATATATATATATATATAATAAAAAGTATTTGCATCTTTACAAATCAGTTGGTATGTCTTAAATGTGAACATTTGATGTCTAATTTGAAACAATGTCAAATATGTTTAAACTAGTTGTAGGATGACATTTAATGATAATAAGTTTGAAATTGTGTTGGGATATTCAGAAAAATATCCCAAAAATTATTTTGTGAAGTCTAACGCTATCCTTTGGACTTGAGATGGTATCATTTTCCTACTGATCGATATTCTACAATGTTATTTTTTATTTCATGATACGATGTGGTCTGCTTGATTGGTATATAAACAGAGTATGTTTGAAATATAATGATTTATATCTCCGAGGCTGAGACTTGCGTTCTGGACTCAACTGACTGGATTAGACAGGGAATCGGGACCAATCAGAATCCTAGACCTTTCCTACCTGTTTGCGCGTCTTTGGTTCGATCGGTAATTCGCTGTCCTCTAGTCTGCCGTCACAGCCATAGCAAATTGTAATTAGATTGTGGGTCTCTTTGGCAATAATGGCTTTGTAGTAATTGAAGCACACCAAGACCAATGATTTTCATTCTACAGTTATCAAGAAGACTATGAGTGAAAACATAGTTTAGACAAACTTTAAATGGTGAAGATGAAATACATGTTTGAAAAGAGACGTGAAACCTTTGAAAATTAACTACATGATAGATTGTCCGAAATCTTTATTTCCAATCATGTAATTGTGTATAAGTTTAAACGTCTTAGCTGATGAGGAGTTTTATAATAAAGTGGTGAAATCATTTTAAACTTTAAATCTTACTGTTCCCGATCTGTTCAAAGTTCAACTAAATAAGTATTGGTGGCTTTATTTAATATTATGTTTTCGGTACAATACAGAAATCTCAGCACGAAGTATCTTAACAAGTTTCCCTTTCTTATTTCTTGATCGACCGTTGTGATAAATGTTGAGTAGTTGCCAGTTATATGTTAGAAGTTCAGGACTCGACATGTGAATAATCTACATTGTTTTCGATGCATATTGCTAGCAACCACGATGTCTCTGATTGAGCTCTTTTGTAACTTGTACAGCGAAATGTGGTAAACTTTTGACAAACGTGCCTGAATAGCTTATGTGACTAATACGCATAATGATGTGTTACGACAAACAAGAAAACAGATAATTTGTTGAAATATCCAGATGTCAGGAACAGGTGTCCTGGATATTCAAGCAGGCCGCCTACTTGATTATCATTATAAATTGTGATTTTCATGAATTACTATTGTTCAATGTATGTACTGTGAATCTATTGCTTATGTTTTTAACTTTTATTAATTACTCTTTTAGTGTATCGTATCAATAATTTACTTGCTTGCTGGAGATATTTTCACACTTATGAATTATATGGGTTTTGTTCAATGGTCGGCAGTTGGTCTTTGTGTTCTGATTGTAGTAATTTTCAGATTTACTCGTCCTAATCTTCGACGTCCGGTTAAGGTAAATTAAAATTTCTGAAGCGGTTTTGCTGTATTATTTATTAAGATTATATGATTATAATGAGGTAGTGGTTTTGTGGATATTGTAGCATCATTACTTTTTCTATCCAACCATTAGTCTTCTGTTGGAAGATTCGTTCTGTGCGGTGTTCAAATTAGACATTCGTTTTATGAACTGTTATAAAACTAGAAAAATCTTTTTAAAGCTGTTACGTTGATGAAAATTTTGAAGCAAGCCTTTAAAAATGCATTCTACTAGTGATGTAGTGAACGAGAACACACGTGGGGACAGTCGAATGTAATTTAATGCAACATTACAGAACATCTTAGTAAAATCTGAGAACCATACAATGAATACTTCATTTGCAAAATGTCAATCAATCACCATATACTTCATCGTTCCTGCATTTCCTTACCAATCGCTTTCTATTCCCGTTCTCTCCTCCTTGACCTTCAGCTGTCAGACATTCTATCCCTGACTTGAGTTATATATTACTTATGTCGATATACGTAGCACACACTGCCCTTTAATTTAATTTAATATTTTCAGCTGTTACTAATACTACTACTATATCATAGAATTTTTATTTTTTCATTATCTATGTTTATTACAGGTTCCTATAATATTCGCCATAATCTACTTAGTAGTTACTGCATCTCTGTTAATTTTCTCTTTTTATGGATCACCTCAAGAATCATGTAGGTCATTTGTTATAAATTATGTTCTATAAATTCTTATGTTTACTTTCTAAATGTAGGAATAACAGTTCGTTATGTTATTCAACTATGAATGTGGAGATTGATTTTCAAACAACAAACTAAGAAGCCATAATCTCATAAGTGACTACCTTCGAGTTGGTTGGTAAGTTGTGAGCTACTGAGTTGAAATGGCGAGAGACGAGACCATAACTTATCGATGACATTCGCGTAGAATCGTGGTATATAGCTAACGAAAACTAATCTTAGTAGAATAACCAAACTAAACTTTTGCTATTCAGTGGTACAGAAACCTACATTTCTTCACAAGACCAAAATATCTCATGTATTCGATGTTATAGCTTGTTGTAGCCGTTCATTGTTGAGAAAGTTCAGAACTAAGAAAAATCTAGTTCAGTCTTCCTATGGTTCTTCTTGTCGGTTATTCATATGTCACTTTATGACTTAAATCATGATCGAAATTGAAGTTTTATGGAAAACTATTTGATGTGTGCTACTGAAAGATGAAGTAATCTTCTCATCATTTTAGTTAAATGGAACTGATTTCAGAAATGATTTATTTTCCTAGTATAACAATGATTACATCTCTCTACTGAATTTTCGATTGTCTTATCCCTTTATAGTATATGGTATTTTGATCATTTTAACCGGTATACCGGTTTACATACTCGGTTGTGCGTGGAGTCCTAAACCGAAATCATTTCAGAAGAAAATGAGTAAGTAATTTTGTCAAGTCACATTCCATATTACATAATTTAAATATTTTCGAACGTGTTCGTTCTAACTGACCTATCAGTTGTTGGTTTGTTTAGTCACTTTTGAGTTACACACTTGTTGTATCTGAGGATTAGAGACACGATCTGGTTTCGCAAACGTAAATAAGTGTAACGGGTTTGCATATGCAATCTTATTCACCCATCTGTATGTTTGAGGAGTGGATAATGATTATATTTGGTTTCAGGAGAACCATATCATCTCAGCTATTTAGAATTCTGAATAACACAGCTAAACCATATGATGCACCTATGTAGATGCTCAAAACTCTTTTAACCCAATACAATTAGAAATACTTTAACATTTGAGTAATTGTCACTACTATACATTTTATGAATTTAATCAATTTGGACAACAATTAGTCAACATGCATACAATCACTTCTAAGCCATCAACATTTGAGTTAAACGAAAAGAAATTATGAGGTTTGAGTTAGGTATAACGTTTGAATAATTCAGTCTTCTTATTAGATCTTCAAATCTAAGTATTGATTTCTAATAATTGTTGCTATTTCAGGTATATATACAAACATTTTATGTGTCAACTACTGATACACATGCCTTAATAAGCTCTAGCCAGTAGTTACTGGACTTCCATTTTCTTTACTGTGAAAATGTTTTTCAATTGTTATTAAACTAGAAAAGAGTTTTATTCTCAAGTCAAATGATAATATTCATGCTTTAAACGAATGACACATGATGTTTCTTATTAGGTCATCCATCGGTCAATCAATTGGTAATAATAAAATTTATCATAACAGTGGTAGTTAGGACAATAAGTTTCAATACAATAATCCAATAGTAAAATAATATGTCAGATGGGTATTTTTGTGGACATCGTACTAATTTTAGTAGTTGAAATCATGAGACCAATAGATCCTGAGTTCGAATCTCGCGAAGCGGGATCGTAGATATGCACTGCTGAGGAGTCCAGCAATAGGACTAAACGGCCGTCTAGTGTTTCTAGGTTTTCCATGGTGGTCTATCTTCAATTGACTCATGGTCTTAACTCTTAAAACTACTATAATATCAACACAAAGCCCCTTCAGATATTATTCAACATATGCTCACTGGTGACTGGCTTCAAGAGGTATTTCCCGGAGTTATAGCGAGAATCAGTGACCATTGGAGTTCAACTAGGTACTTTGTAAGGTAGTTACTCACTAAAGTCAGCGGTGGATATGTCGCTATATTTCGTGGATTAGTTGAAGTTAGAATAGTTTATAACAAGGCACAGGAATAGTTTTTAATGTAAATATCGATTGTTTTTAATGCATTACAAATGGGAAGAAATTGAATCTGTTTTATCTAGTGCTCAGATTCTTAGTATACCGCATACAGCTTGAGCACTGAAATGCTAGAACCTTCCAAGTTGCAAATAAGAAGACACAAGAAGATTGCAGAAAGTGTTTGTTGGGCAAGAATCAAGATATACAGAAAATCATGGGTATTTACAGATGTTAGCATTTGTTAAATCAACCAGTCCGTGAAGAGGCATGTTATGCTACTGACCAATAGTGTCATGCCACGTTGATGTTCTAGAAGGTAAATACCAACACGTCATCGAGGACCAAATGCACTCGAAATCTAGAAGGCTCCATTGCATTCTGATTGGATGGAACTCTTCGACTCCTTTAGTTCTCGGAAGCCGTCCCAACAAAATTTTCATATAACTTCCATTGATCTTGACAAGTTAATGTGTAATTGACCTGATGAAAACTATCATATGAGATAACATTATTCCAAAGTTGTTGAAATGACTTGATGATAATGATTGAACTAAACAAACTTCGATACGAATAGCTAAATTCAACATCATCGAATTAGTTGTATATTTTGTTGATATTCTCCTTCTTCTTTGTTTGTTTTCATTCAATCTTTTGTTTATTTTTCCAGTAAACATCACGATTGGATTACAAAAACTCTTCCGTATTGTACCATCCAGTTGAAGATGAAAGATAAAGCATAGGATTATTGTGTAATGTGAACATTGTTCAACAGTCATTTTGTTGTGCTACCCGAACACTCACTTATTGTATAAATTCACTGTATGCAAAAAGATAATGTAGCTGATTCATTAGTTTTCTGTTTTTTTATCGCCTTTTTTGTCAAATGCTACATTTACTTAACTAACGTCAACGAAGCGATCAACGTTGTTAACCGATGTCCGGTTGCTCTTCTTCTTGGACTGCATTATTTTTGTACATTTTGTCTATTTGTGATTGAAATTTCTTTTTGATCATTCTATTTATTATTTTTTCATTTGAATTTTTATATTTTCAAAATTATTTTCCTAAAATTTTCTTGTGACTTGACTGGTAGTTACGTAATGGAGATTTTTGGGCATTACTAATTGACTACACGACCTACTTACTTACTTACGCCTGTTACTCCCAATGGAGCATAGGCTGCCGACCAATATACTACACAAAGTGTATATGATTTGATTCTGTATTTCTATCTCTCTTTCTCCCTCTTATTTTTCATGAGATTTAGATAAACAAAATATATGTAAATTGTATGCAAACAATTGGTTTTCTTTATTCAATCTATGATAATATGTATGATATTTGTAATGTCTGTGTTATTCTGTCCATGTTATATTTCAATTGAAATGAAGTTGTGAGAAAACACGTTTTCTTAAGCTATTATTAATTTAATCACATGAAATTGTAATATTGCCCTGGTGAATGTTGGAATAGTCAACTAGGAATGGTTTGTGTTCAGGGTTTGATGCAAACAGTTACTTGGCTGACGAACTTATGAATAGGTGTAACTCAAATTGGCCTAGATGACTAAAGAAATAGAAAAGCGAAAATTGATTCAATTACTCATTTCCTGTGATATATATAAAAAAGACTGTAAGTATTAAGATTGGTGGCATGAGTGTTATTGAAAGCGATAATTTTGGAAGTTCGCTGACTTATAATGACAAAAACAACTATAGTATCATTCATTAAAAATTAGATATGTATCATCGCTACTGCGTAAAATACATAAATCCTGCTCAACAACAAATAACAATTTGAAGACTGCTGTTCGTAGGAAGTGAGAGACTAATTTTACGGAAAGCTTCCCGAAGTTTTTCAAAAAGCTACACACTTAGACATAGTACTCATAGCAGGTGACTTTAATGCCCAAGTAGATTGCTTAAACCAAACGGAAAGACATTTAGGTGTGTATTTTGGTATTCCGAGTCAGCGAACAGATATTGGTGATGGTCTGCTGCAACTGTGCTCAGACAACCGTTTATTTCTAACAAGCACTAATTTAAGGTTTAAGGGGAGACATCGTCTAGTATGGCGACCCGCTACACGATAGACTTTAATAGACCATATTCCAACAGTTACCGTTGAAGAAGCTCGATAGAACACTTCCACGTTTATTTGACCTATTTCCAACGTTTAACTATTGATAAGACTTTTGTTATCGTATTTTATTATTCATATTACTATCAGTACACCTGTCGTCCTACTATAAACATGTATTTCTACCTATTATGTGTGATGATCTATTCTATTTCATTGTGATTATTGACCCAAATCGCCTTGATTGGTTTAACATTTCCGTATAAATATTCATGTATATTAGAGTAAAGCCTGATGACAATCTAATTGAAAACAATATTGTTCGCTTATATATGTTGTTCTAAGGAAAATATAATCAAACATCAAAATTATCGAATATAAATAAATAACTTTCCTACTTACGCTTGTGTACTCCTCGTGAAGGAGCATAGGCCGCTCACGAGCATTCTCTATTCAACCCTGTCTTGAGCAACCCTTTCTAGATCCTTTCAGTTGTTATTCATCCTTATCATATCTGCTTCTATTTCCCGACGTAAATAAATAAATCTGAACTGATTATTCCATTCCGTCTATATCATATTAACTAATAAATAGATAATACATTTAACGGTTCAGATCAGTTATCTTATCTGAATATGTTAAACAATTGACTGGAGCATTAAAATAACACAAACTTTCAATTCCTCTTTGGAATCATTCATTTATCTTATTTATTTATCTTCATTTTATGCATATTGTGACATTTTTGTTTCATGCCATATATAAATGAAAAATTATGTGTATCTCAATACATAGTGCCCGCAATGTCGAGTCACCTAGACTGGTGGCCACATTGCAACATGATCGATAGCATTCGATCTGCACTAATAAGGACTAGACACGCATGACATTGATTGCCACCCAGTGATCAATCAATTGTGATTATATGTTTTATTTAGTATTCTAGTGACCAAAGACAATATCTAGTGAATAAAATTTCTTTTCACATCACTTACGTATACACACAATCTGTTATCTTAACACTTTTTGTTAAACACCACATATCTCTTACACATTAATGTATATACTTATTTTGAACATTGTTCACGTTGATTGGATGACTTATTCAGTATACGGTAAACCAGAGAACCATGTACCTATTTATTTTCGATAATTTTGTTATTTGATTATATTTTCCTTGAAAAAGCTTGAACCAGATTGCCAGGCGAAACGTTTGATTTCAAATTCTTTCGTTGAGATTTTACAAATACAACATTCTTCCTCTTTAATGAATCAGACTTTACGTTTACTACCACACATCACCTTGCCGTTAAAGTGTGTAAGTAGTTATTTGGTCCCATATTCATATAAAAAGGATGATAATCATCATAACACCACATCCCATCTCCTCACGAAACAATGTTGGGTCATTATGTCTCAATATCATGACAAATTTCACATTCCCAATTTGCACTATCTTCCCATATCTCACACTTCGATCATTATTTGTGAGTAGTAGGGCTACACACTGACATATAATTTGAGTCATTTCATCATGCGCATTAATAATATGATATACATTCCTTTTGCTTTTCACATTAAAATAAACAAGGCCGTTGTTACAATTATCAGATAAATTTGCATTGATATATGTAATTAACACATGTGACTCATCAAGGCTCGATTCACCTGCAAAACAATCAAATAGAAGATATGCATCTGACTCGTACTCATTAAGATAATCTTAGACTCGATTAAAATTTACTGACTGTACAAACTTCATATCTGGGCAAACTACTTCTCTGACTGCTTCGGGAAAACTTGCTATCCTTTCTGATTCGTCATACTACTGAGTAGGGTCTCTACTCAACTTATATCTGTTGTGAGAATATTCAACATCTGATACATTAACATCAGAAATGTGACTAGAATTCAACTCATTCGGAACACATTTGTTACACACATTAGGAATAACACTAGAGATAAACGAATTATGAGAACAAATAACATCTGATGCGACACGATCTGGATCTTATTCAGATTTCAACATATTTCGAAATAAATGTGTCATTAGAACAAATCACATCTGAATTTTGATTAGAATTTGATGCACTCGACTTATCTCCCACGTATTTGTAAATAATTTCATTAGAAACAAATCTGGTAAAATGATATCATGAATCTGATCAGAGTATGATTCAGTTGAAACATTATTCTCACAACGATGAAGGACTTCATTTAACATAGTTAAATCATTAGAGTGATCGGAATCCAACATCGAAACATTTGAATCCTGTCCATTTTCAACATTATTAAGCACAGTTTCCTTCAGGATATTGATTATTTTCCCTTGAGTTTTCACAAATCGTCTTATTTTTACTTTCGAAATAAACATTTCTGATTGATAAAATATATCCAGTTACAAAATATAGTGAGGTGCGTAGGTCCGTTTAAAAACTGTCTCATCGCCAATTTGATATAACATATGGTTTATAATATTTGTTCGTATATTACAATGATACTTTAATACGTTAATAAGACTAATCACGTTATATCAGGTTATTATTAATAATAATTGATTTAACTGATTAACTAATGAATCCTAAGATGTTGACAATGATTTGGGAATTCAATGAAATAAAATTATGAAGAATAATTCACAACACATTTTGTAATTTATCGATATGCATGAAAAGACTATGAAGTGAATGATTTATTACAATGCTCATAACATACAAGTCGTCGAGCTCTAGTTATGTCGTATCCAGTAGCATCAGGTCTCTCTGTGAGTGTGGTGTCTTTAAACGACTAAGCTGAAATCTAGTGCTTTATATTGACCAATTTTGTCAATTCTCCACTTTTTTAAAAACCATAAGTGAATATCATTTACATTTCTAATTTATTTCACTGATGGTTTGTCATAACCGTTTCTTATTAGCACACTACATACAGTTTTGAATACCAGTGCACTAGGAGGTTACATAAGTGAACAAAATTATTAATGACATAAAGAACAGTTACTCTCATTACAAAACTATCGACGGGACCGCTTTGAAGATCGGAAAATTTACTAGTAATAACACAGATGTTAGATAATGAATAATAATTCTGATGATGATTGTTATAACATGATAAAATGAATTTGACATTGAAATCTTGTTTGAGAGAGTATCGAATTGGTAATAAATATTTTCACGGTAAGGCATTAAAGAAAAGTAGAAAGCTGATTTGTACAACTAGAGATTATCATCATTGAAAGAGAAGAGATTGAACTAATTTCTTTAGTAAGAATATTTCAGGTTTATCAATATGCACATGACAAAGAACTTGGAGATTCTATCTAGATACAAACGAGTAATACTGGCTAGCTTTAAATGTCAAGAAAAGTGATTGTTTGTTTAATTTATAACCTAAACACATGGTCACTATCATTAGTTGACAACAATGGTAGAGAACGTTTATAGCTCAGCTGAATGCATGTGGACAACTGTGGACTCACATTCGATTAAGAAATTGTTGAGATCTTGAACAGGGGCAACTCTAAAATTACAAGAGAAATTTTAGAATCTTGACACTCTGGTCAATCATCAAACACATTGAATTCGACCCAATCTATCAATTATTCAGAAAGAAACTATGGAAAAATATAGGACTGAGAATAA